TCTGTACATCTAATATATATCAGATGCTCTAAAAAGTGAATTAAATATTCAGTTTGGTTCCCTAAAGGATATCTTCAGTAGTTCTTCCCAGGTGCAAAGGGAGGAGGCCTGTCTGAAATGCTGAAAAAAGGGCTTTGTGAATTGCAAATTCAATACAAAGAATACAAATAGTCATTAACTAAGGCTCCACAAGCAAGGGCAGGTCTCCAGAGAACAGTCCCAGGAGATACTCTTTTGCCTTCTTTTGTCATTTGAGTTCTCAAAATTGTCCCTAGTTTAGACCAAATCAACCACAGTCTATGATTAAAATTTCCACTCTGAAAATCTGAGCAACGTAGGGATTGTAGGAACTGGACCATCTGGAGATAATTTATAAATAACACTCGCTTTTCAAATGGCCTCTGTCTTCCGAAAGAGTCCTCTGTCCTGTCAGTGGGAGTGCTGCCAAGGCACAAACCGCTAAACTGGGCCAGGGACACTGAAGTTGCTGGCGGTAGCTTCTTATCCCTGATTCTTCTAAGAATTCGGGATACTTCACTGAAAGATTTGTTTTTCCTCATGTAAAATGTAAGCTAAAAGTTATTGGCTATCTTTAGGTTGGGACAGGCTTTTAGGATTTTAATGCATGTGATTCACACAGCTTTTGCTTTGTATACTGCTAAAATAACTGAAATGTGAATCAAACACTAAATAGAACCCAAAATATCCTGGATACATAGTATGGTTTGGGGGCATTAAAACATGACTAAGCCCATTGCTCCTTTCTCACTAGATCTGTTGACATGAAAGGGAGCCATTAATACTACCTTTTCCACTCCTTTCTTCCCGGTCAGTCCTAGGCAGCAAAACCTTAGCCACTGCAGGCAATATGCCTCTGAAGAGCCAGTCTCAATTGTGTTAAACTTACAGTGGTACAGTGATAAGGGCAAAGAGCACCATGGGGCCAAGGCAGACAAAACCAGGAGGAGTTGACAGGCCTGAGTCATGATCCCTGTTCCCAGACATCCGTGGGGTTGCCACACTGATGTTATTTCTTTACCTCTGTTGAGCGGGAGTGATCGAAGTCTCATGTCTGGTCACACCCCTGGGATTATGACAAGGCTCACCAGACCTCATTATTGCTCAGGGAGAGGTGAATTTTAAAAGTAATCAAGTTCAAAGGAGAGCCCTGCAACCTGTGATCTCTGTTTCTCAAACAGAATTCCACCAACTTCATTCCCACTATCCAAAATGCACCTACACATAAGCACTTTCCTGCCCATGGCTGGAGGCTCTGAGTTCACACATATGCCTGCAGTTAGGAATCTGCAGAAAAGGGTTTTCACATTGCTTCTCAAGGACCTACTAATGGCAATGACAACATTGACCCGCTGGCTGGTGCTGGAAAGAGTCATATTGAACTCATGGCGTGAGAAGCAAGAAATTTATAAAGCAGGGCTTTTCTGAAGGTTGGGCTGAAAACTTTTCATTTAGAAAATAAATATACAGCATAACGTACAGAACTGTGCTATTTAAAGCATAATGGGCATGGTGTCTTTGTGGAGACAGAACACATGCCCATTTCTGAGAACATTATTTGGTCTAAAAAGCATTACAAAGGTAGTTTTACAGTGGGACTCTTCTCTGTTTCTCCCTTAGTCCCAGGAGGTTGGGCTTCCTTGTGTGGCCTCTACACCTCCCTTCTGTTCTCCTAACATTTTAGAGCACAAGTTTTCTAACAAGGAGAAGGGAACTTCCTAGGGATGCATATCAACATCTCTAGAAGGAAATGTATGTATACTTTGAAAATATTTATTTCCCATTATAACAGAATTTCATAATTTGGAAATAAAAAAATCCACTACTCTCATTATATTTCTCTCAAAGAAAGTAAAATTTGACAAGCTATATCTGCAGGAGTGAATCTGCATAGTGAGTCTGCCAAGGACAGCAGGGGGTAGAGTAGGGGTGGAGTCTCATCTCCCTAGGTGGACCAGGTTCGCATCTTGGCTGGTTGGGCATAACATTTTTATATTTATCAAATAGGAAAGGTGTGGTTTTTTAAAAGGTTTGGAAACACTCTGGACAAAGATAACAATGGTGGATGCCTGTATCTCTCCTGTTGGGTCAGTCTTCGGGTGACTGAGTTGAGTCAGGAGTCTCCTGGCTACGTAGGAGCCACACATTGAGGGCTGGTGGTCCAGGATCTCCTTGAGAAATGCGTGTGAAGACAGCCTGGCATATACCACGCACACTCTGCCTTCACTGTGTGAATGAGATTGTCCTTGGAGTGGAAAGAGAAAGAAGATTTAGGGCAGTGAGTCAGTGAAGGGCCTCAGAATGGAGGTCCCAGGACCTTTAAAGCTGTCAGCTGCATGACTGCCTCAGGATACAGTTGTGAAACATATCGGGATTGAGGGGTAGACAGAAGCTGCTTCCTGAGCTCCACTGATGGTGCCCTGGACAGACGGTGCAATGAGGACTCACCCAAGCGAGCAACTAAGAGAGTTTGATCCTGGAACTCTTATGGGCAGGCAACTTCATGTTGTCACTTCTACAGGGCCTTGTGACTCTACTCAAGACATCAGTCCCACATTCTTCAAGAGCAATGGCTCTAGGGACTGGAAAGAGCTAGATGAGAGTGGTGAAAACACTGCAGACAATGTCAGAAACGTAGCAAGGCAGACCCAATACATGAGACTCACCAGTGAAAACAAAGTCCAGTGAGCAGTGCCAAATGCCATAAGAATCAGCACGTCTCACTGCTGAAGATGGGGCAAGTGAGGACAACTGGGACGCTATATTGGTGGAGGAGGTGGAAGGACCATGGATTGGTGAAAGGAGATGACCTCAGCAGGGACCCATCACACTAGGAAGGGATAGCCAGTGTGGAACAGGAGGCTGCAGAACAAAAAGATGTGCACAGCTGGCACAGAGACCATCCTGAGGCACTGAGAGAGAGAAGGAGGGATTTGGGGAACTGCCATTCAGTGAGTTCCCACCAGGGAACTCAGCACTTAAGAGTCCTAGATTATGCTCTTAAGCTAATGCTTAAGAAGAACCCTGGAGATGGGACTAAGTACATGGAATGGGGGCAGAAACCACAGGGATTCCTGAGACACTGGGGACAGGCTGGGCAAGGAAAGATGTCGCCTACTAGGAGCAGGGTCCAACAGGAAACACCTTCTCCCAGAGATTTAGGGTGTTGCTAAGGTGGCAGAGGGCAATCAGAACTCTCCATTTTAAAGAAAACTCAGCCATACATTAGGAAAAATCAAGTAAGTCTTTTGGAAACATCTTTCCACCTTCCTTGGGATTTGATATTTAATACAAGGGTTACTATGAACTCAACCAGACTTACTCCACACCAAACCAGGCTACCCCTAAGGCTTTGATTCAGAGCTATTTACCAATAGCCTGAATATATTATCTCAAACAGCAACCATGAAAGAAAGCTACATGAAAATCTAGACTGGGCACATCTCTTCAACATTCTGAATTGCAAAGTAAAAAGTGACACCAGCGCAGGGAGGTGCTGTGACTGTGGGAGGAGCAAGAATGAGCAATAATCTCTGGCACTCTTCTGGCCAACGTGCTAACCAGCACGGAAATGCCAGAGTTTAGGACACACAGACACCAGCAGATATGGAGCACAAATGGCATTTCATTGGGAATCAGGGTAAATAGGCTCTTTCTTCACTCTCACTAACTAGCTGGGTACATTTGGGAAAGTCATTTAATGTCCTGATACTTAGTTTCTTCCCATGTAGAACATGAGAGTTGTAGCAGGTGGTCCCTGGGATCCCTCTCATCTGAACAGTCTGTGAATTCAGGGCTCTGGGTAGCTCATAGACTGGGATACTCTCTCCCAGGTTTTCCAGAGTAAACAATACTCCTTGGATATAGCCTCAGCCAACAGCATGATCCTTCTCATCTAAGGGAATGTATCCAACTAGAAAAGGCAGAGGGTGGATCCTTTTGTAACCGGATAAGAGATCTTGCCAAGCAATGTTAAGTTTTCCCCATGGTCCTATGTTTACCATATGTTTGATTCTCAGTGTGGTCCAAGCCTTCCTTATCTTATCCATTTCACCTATGAAGAACCAAAACAGCATTCATCAGGCTGTGGTCCACCAGCCATCTATAACTAAGACAGGCCAACCTGTATCTAAGGAAAGTCAGTCCCTGATGCCAAGCCCAACATCTCGGGGAAAGACTGCTGAGAGTTTGCGTGGCCTTGGAGTCTAGTTATCAGATAACATGTGCTGGATTGATCTCAACTGTAATATGGCCCTTGAAATGATAGTACTTTCACTTTGGAGCCCAAGCGAAATGTTGAAGGTGCTGAAGTCTGAGCCACCTGGGAGTCCTGTGGTCCAGCCTGGACTGACACTCAAAAGGAGAAAGGCCAGAGTGTTTGTACTCCACCCACAGCAGTAGACATAGCATCAGGACATTTAGGGTGTGTGTGTCCTCAGTTTCTTCTGGAATCCAATATTTTTTCATCATTTATTCATTTAGTACCTCCTGGGACTAAGGTGCTGTGTTGGGCACTGTGACAGTTACTCTTTTGGCATTCCTTCAAGGTTTGTTATTTGATCATCCAACCCAGGGGTCAGCAAACCACAGCCCATGGGCCAAATCTAGCCCTCTGCCTGATTTTCTATGGCCTCACAAGTTGAGTAACTTTTACATTTTTAAATGGTTAAGAAAGAAATCAAAAGGAGAATAACATTCTGTTACACATGAGCATTTTATTCAATTCAAATGTCAGTGTTGCTAAATAAAGTTGTATTAGAACCTCACCATGGTAGGCAGAATTCTAAAATGACCCCCAGTGACCCTCACCTTCATATCATCTCCTTCCTGGAGTGTGGGCAAAACCTGTGAATATAATGGGGTTATTACTCCTATGATTTATGTAACATCATATGGCAAAAGGGATTTTTGTAGATATAATTAAGATTACTAATCAGTTGACTTTGGGTTATTCAAAAGGAAAATTATCCAGGTGGGCCTAATCATACAAGCCCTTTAAAGGTAAGGAGTTCTCTTCAGCTAGTAGCAGAAGAGGAAGTTAGAGAGATATGCTCCAGCTGACCTCGAGGAGAACAGAACATCCACATTATGAACTGACTATGAGAGAACTCTAGGGGCTGAGAATGGCCCCCACCAACAGGCAGCAAGGAACCAGGACTTCAGTCCTACAGCCACAAGGAACTAGATTCTTCCAACAACCTGAATGAGCTTTACTGTGCATTCTTCCCCACAGCCTCCAGGTAAGAACCCAGCCAGCCAACACTTTCATGTCAGCCTTGTGAGACCTTAAGTGGAGAATTCAGCTAAGCCCACTCAGCCTTCTGACCTACGGAACTAGAAGTAATAAATGACCACTGTAAGCCACTAAATTTGGGGTAGTTTGTTATGCAGCAGCAGGATAGTAAACAAACTCATGCTCAGGTAGCTTTTATGCTACACCAGAGAGTTGAGTAGTTGCAACAGAGACTTTATGGTTCACAAGCCTGAACTATTTACTATCTGGCCTTTGACAGAAAAAGTTTGCCAACCTGTGCTCTAACCATACATGTAATCTTGCCTCAGATGTATTTTGTGAGAGTTTTGTGCCTGACCCAAGGCTTACAAAAAACAGGAGTTACATCCGGGAGCACACAACAAACATTCCTTCTGTCAAGTTGAATTAATCCAAAGAATTAGTAGACATCAGACTACCCTGCTGACCTCTCCATTCCAATGCTTAAAAGGTTGAGGAAAGAGAGTGTGTGTAGATATGATTGAGAGAGGAAGAAAGAAATCAGAGGAATATGTGCCATAGGCATTTTGGGGGTTGTCATTTTCTATATTATGAATTTCAATAATAGTTGAATTTTGTGAATAAATTTGTGCTAAATTAATAATAAAATTACCTTATTGTTTTTAAAAGGATAGTCTGTGCTCCATGTGTGCTCCTTGGTACAGTGGCCTGGAAAAGTGAAGGTATGAAAACTATTGCTTTGCAATTTGAATTCACTCCATTGGTTCTTGACTTTTCCTCCCTTCATGATGCCCTTTCTGCCTTCACAGTGGATTGGATTCAAGATAATCCAACTTTCATTCACTAATGTTGGTTATCTAGGAGAGTAATTTTCAACCATCTTAGAGTAATGATGCCCTTCTCTCTCTCTCTCTCTCTCTCTCTCTCTCTCTCTCACACACACACACACACACACACACACACACACACACACACATACACACAAAGGAATTAAAAGATTTGGCATGGCATGAATATAGCTTTAAATTGAGTTAAAATTCGTGTGAGTCTAAAGATTGGAAGAAGGAGCTGAAGAGGGTTTATTAGTGTCCTAGGGCTGCTGTAACACATTACTACAAACTGAGTGACTTAAAAAACAATTAAAACTTACTCTCACAAAGTTTGGGAGGCCAGAAGCCTGAAATCAGGTTGTTGGCAGAGCTGGTTCCTTCAAGAGGGTGTGAGGGAAAACCTGTTCCATGCCCCTCTCTTTGCTTCTGGTGGCTACCAGCCATCCTCAAAGTTCTTTGGCTTATAGCTGAATATCTCCAGTTTCTGCCTTTCTTCACATGGTTTTCCCTTCTGTGTGTTTGTGTCTCAAATCTCCCTCTGCCATTCTCTTATAAGGACACCTGTCACTGAATTTAGGACCATGTTAAATCTTGGATAATCTCATCTCAAGATCCTTAATTTAATTACACCTGCAAAGACCTGTTTGCAGAATAGGGTCCCAGTCAGAGGTACTAGAGGTTTGGACTTGGACATACCTTTGTGGAGGCCACAATTCAATCCACTACAGAATGTATTTAGCATGTTTCTGGAGCAGATAGGGAAAACCCTTTCTCAATCTCCTAAATAGCAACCAAAATCAACAAATCTGTTCTATATTGTCAGAAGGGTTAATTTTTTTTCTCATGGAGCTTTATGGATACCTAGCTCTCCTCCTGCCCACCCCCATGATCCTGTGATTATAAATTGGAAATTCCTCAATGCAAGGCACATGGGAGATCTGAAACCTTCACCGCTATCCTGTATGGTGCTCTATCTTGTCTTGTCCTTTTTACCCATCTGGACAAAATCCAAGGTAAGGCAACATTAGGAACTATGTCAAAAATCAGGGTAGTGATCCTCAAGTGTTAGGTCTAGGATAAAATTCTGTCGAGACTTTCTGTAAGTAGGAAATTGTGCTTTCTAGCAGAATAGCATGGGTCTCTCTGGAAACAAGTCCATGCCATTTATTGTCCATTTGGCCTTGGGAAAAATCTGATGCTGTGATCTGGTTTCTCTCCCTGTAAAGAAGGCATAACAATGCCTTGCTTCCTTACCGGCGTACTGTGTGAATTTGCTGACACCCATAAAGCTCCCTGAAAATGAAGAGGCTTACATAAGTCCCTCGTATTATTCACACAGCAAACGTTTTCCCCTGAGAATAAAGTAATAAATGGTACCATTGTGCGGCTGGTGGAACGTGTTCAAAAGTTTCCGTTCACAACTAGTAGATCAAGTTGTAGGTGGCTGTATGGACTTTCTGTGCTCATGCCAAGCTGCATCCAAAACAGCCAGCACAACAGACTATCTTGGAATGAAAAGCTGTACTGTAAGAAATGGCCAAAGCATGGCATCATATCACACAGGACAGTCATGTGTAGCCAGAGACTCCATAGGCACCATTTCCTTATAGCAGAAAAGGAACAATGGCAGAAGCAGTGGTTATGTGAAGGTCTAACATGGCAGCAATTGAGAAGCAACTGTCTTTTTTAGCATGTTGACAAACTTCCCAAGGCCAAGGATGCTCTTGATTGTGGAGAATTAAAAGTGTAGCTTGCTTGCTTGCTTTCTTCCTTTCTTTAATTTGTGAGCCAGGAGAAGCCAGAATTCTAAATCAGATACAGTGTTCAGGTTAAGGATCTATTCTCTTTTAACACAATTCATTTTGGTAGGAGGGGTGGGAATATTCTGGGTAGAATGCTGCTGGCTGGCATAAGAGACAGGAAAGGATTTCCTCTCCACTATTATAAGCCCTGGAAATACTCCAGGTCATGATACAGGGAAAATTCTGTCTCTCTTTTAGCAAAGTCTGGGACTCCTAGTCTTTGGATGTCACATCTGAGAAGATGACAGATATTTTAATTGAATGAGAGGAAGATTAACTACTAAAGATATCACATTTGCTTTTTAAAGGTGATCATGTTCAATTAGAGTTATGTGGGGATTACACTAATAAGCTCAAAGGTGGTCAGAGGGGATGAAGGTTGGTTGCTCCCTCAGTGGTACATATTCTCACATTAAAAAGCTGAGGCAGAATCACAAAATCATGAGAGTTTTGAGCTCAAATGACCTAACTGGATATTAAACTATTTGATAACTTTTCAAATTCCAGGTACAAGCCAGCATTTTCCCCTCTGTTTCCAATTGCAACAATGGGTAAAAAAACTTCAATGTTAATGAGCTTAGGACAATAAAAGTAGAAAAGAAGATCTCTCTAGGTTTTTAATGTTTGAGGTTGGGCAAAATGTTTAGATTTTAATGCAAAGGCTGTGGAGAAGTATTGTGCAACCCACTGGGTACATCGGGCTCCCTCTGGCCTCTCATTTTCACATTCTATTTTCAGGGAATTTTTCATTCATTCATTCAATGCCCATTTATTGGGCACCTGCTACATACTAGGCAGTGTGCGAAGTGCTAGAGGTACAAAAAGATGAAAGACACAGTCACTCACCTCAGAGTCCCTCACCTAGTAAAGAACGAGGTGACAAGTGTCGTAATATAAGCAAGGTCAGAGCTGGAATAACTGAAGAGAATTTCCTGGTGATACCTTGCCTCAGACCCCGCATCCAAGGTCCTGGCACCTGGAATGGCTTTTGCTACACGTGTCAGGAGAACCACAGCCTGAGAGAATACCACACGGTTTCCCCTAAGTTTGAATGACCTGCAGGCACTACCCAGAGGCTGAAGCATGGGCCTGCTGGGCAGAGGGGGGCTCTAGCTCACTGTCTTGTATCCGAGGAAAGCACACAAAGAGCCTGGAGGACACTGCATGAATATTTCTGCGTGACTGGATCCATCTGCAGACAATTTAACAGTTGCCAAAGTTTCTTCATCAATGTGCAGTCTGGAGCACCCAGAGGCTGGGCAGTGCTGATCTATGGCGATCAAGTTCAGAGACCCAGAAGGCACTATTTGTCTGAACAATGGCGAGCGTGCTTGTGAGTCTGAGAGATGCAATTATTTGAACTCTATTATATGCCGGCCTTCCGGTAAGCTTCAAGGGAGCAGACATTAAAGTCTCTATTGCACTCCCTGAGCCTCAGGCCACAGACTGCCTGCCCCTTTCGTGTTACTCCAGTGACCAAGGGCAGATCATCTTGGAAAAGAAGGGCTGAGATGCAAAGAGACGATTGGAGGAGAGGGTAGTGCTTTTCCTATTCTGTTCCCAAGGTTTCGGTTCTTCCTTCAGCAGTTTCACAGCAGATCCTGTTAGTTACTCATGCCATATCCAGCCCTGCTCTTCTTCCTAATTTTGCTCAGGGCAGCAGTATGGCCAGGTACCTACTTGCTTTATTAGCTTCTCTCACTGCTGGTGATAGCTTGTGCCATAACCTGAGCTAATGAGATGAAAGCTGAAATCAGCTTAGGACTCTTGGGAAAGTTTTTGCTTCGATGAGAAAGAAAGACCTATGTGTTCTGCACTATTCATCCCCAAACCCCAACTTCTTTTTGCCTTGGACATGGACATGGTGTCTGGAAGACAGCAGCCATCATGTAGCCATGAGGCAACAAAGATGAAGACAAAGCCAAGACGGGAAGAGAGGTAGAACAGAAAGATCCATCCATTTATTTATTCAACTAATATTTGTTGTCTGTGCCAGACACTATTCTAGTTGCTAGAGCACACAAAATCCCCTGCCTTCCTGAAGTTTACCTTTCAGTGATAAAAGGAGAGAAAGACAATACATAATATATGATATGTAAAGGATAAGAGGTGATAAGTACTATGGAAAAAAAGAAAAGCAAGCATCACCCCCAATTGGGCCTTGCATGCCAATGTAAGGACTTTTGCTATTCCCCTAAGCAAGATTAGCAAATCATTGGAGGGCTAGAGGTGAGGGTGGTATGAGTTGATTTACATTTAAGAAAATCACTCTGGCTCTTGTGTTGAGAATAGATTTAAAGGGGAAAGACATAAAGAGCCAATGCCCTTGATGACATCAATGAACAGCTAAGCCAACACCAGCAACCATCTGCTTCCAGAAGTTTTGCTATTTATGAGAAATAACTCCCTGTGTCATTTCTATGGGAAATACTCTTAGGTATTCAGTTTCTTACAGCCAGACTCATTCCTAACTGATATATACAGGATATATATACAGGATATATACATAACACTTACTATGTGTCTAGGTCGATATAAAGATGAAAATACATATAGTTCTCATTATCAAAGAGCCTTTCAAGGACTTTCTGATCTAACTATGGGAGACCAAAGGCAAAGCATTGCAATGCAATAAGGCAATTGTGCTAGTGAGGTTTGTATGAAGGATGGGGTGAGTGCAGGGTGGGGGGCAGCGAAGCTGAGTGGAGGAATCAGGGAAGGCATCATGAAAGCTGGGAGATGCTTCTCAGGAGAACAAGTTGGTGGTGGGCATTTCAGATGGGAGGAACTGCCTGTGCATTACAGAACACAGAGTGTTCTGGGACATGTAAATAGGGAATTATTCCTGAGGGAGAGGAGTTTGATTGGGAGGTAGGTGGGGAGAGGATGGCAAGAAGCTGTGGAGATGAGGCTGGAGGGCAGATGGGAGAGGTGACAGAGAGTTTGTAAGCACTAAAGAAAAATACGATTTCATCCCGTAGCAACAGGGAGACAATGGAGCGATGACTCTGGCAGCAAGATTCAAGATGGCTTGTAGGGGAGTGGGGCTGGAGGCAAGGCCAATGCAGGAGTCAGGAAACAGCAGAGAGC